GTTTATCCCCTGCGATGTTCTTTTGACCTAAATACGATGTCCACGTATGGAATTCAGCAGCCTCATCCGGGATGGCGGCGTGGTAAGTAAGCACTCGGGGTCCATGCGGCTCTCATCTATGACGAACTAAGGATCGTCCATTAGCTCAGAGGTGACGGTGGTAGTGTCGGATTTGACACCAAGTTTCGGCACATATATGTGATGCAGATAGCCTATCGAATGATAGGGATTTAGACGGTCGTATCACCAAAGAGGATTTCATTGTTTGTCAACCCAAATTTCTAATTCTGTCCCAGATATCTCTGTAGGTGTGCCGCTATATAGTTGGGTGTGGTATAGGTCACCATAACTACAAGTCGGACCGGATCTAGACCACACCACAAAAGATCTAGTAGTGAAGACCAGGCGTTTGGGAATCTAGCATTGGTGACGATAGTGTAGCATAATGGGGGCATAATGGGGGCCTAATGGGGCAGGAAAACTGCCGAATTCGAATGACGAAAGGAACCAAAAAGTGGCTCTCAGCCATTAACCTAATCGAGCCATCGACATGTTCGCGAGGTGGGGACAATTCAAGATGGGTATGTGATTTCGGCAGATGTTTCAAACGACTTCTTGTCATTTCCAATGCGATTTTGCCGCCCGAAAAAAAAGGAAATAAAAGTTGACCACGTGCGACTTGCATGTTGCAGATTAATAAGTCGACCTTACCTAAGGAACTCGGATGACTGAAATTGGAAGGATATGATGCGATGGAATTGGTAAGTAAATCCGATTCCGTACGATAAAGTTTTGTCCGTCCACAACATAAATGTTAAGGTTCCATGTCCATTTGAAAGGTAAGCGCACCCGTGTGAGAATACTTTCATGTTACTTGTGTCTTAGGTAACATCGATTTCGCCGTTCTATCACTTTGGTTTATCCTCTCTCAGAATCCCGTTTCTTCCCCCTATAGCCTGATATCAACCAGCTTGGGTGTTTTTATTTTCAATTTAATTACGTCGTTAGCAGTCCGGGTTATCCTGTGGTTAGGTAGCCGCCAGACGCTCTGCCGCCCCAAACTTCCCTTACCGCGCGTATGTCGTGCCACCCACCGGATGCAGTTCTTATTTCCCGGATTTTCCCAGGCCGTGTATATAACGAACTAACGGTCCGGGTATAAGCTCCATTGCAACGTCTTACGTGATATAAGGCTCACCGACCCTATTCCAGAGCTGTCGGTAGTCCACCGGGGTGCGTCCTTGGATATTAATAATACGCGTCTCCGCATCGAAAAGACGTAGCTTACGCACGATTGCTTCGATATTGACAGTTAAACAGGTTATTCCCTCATGTCTCTGATGTCCTTGCCGATTGTTGTAAGTTTTGAAGAATTACTCTGCTTAGGTTAAATCCCTTGCCCTCAATATTACTTTGTTGGCCTACGCGAGACACCATCAAGTAGCTCTGGAGTGTCGGCAAGTAAATCTAGTTCGGGAATTTTGGATACAATATTATGAGACGATTATTATTAATATCTATAGGATACAATATTATGAGACGATTATTATTAATATCTATAGAATGTAGAAATTGTCTCAGCGAGCTTGTGACCCGGACATGATTCGTGCTGTTCAGGCTATGTGAGTTATACGAACCTAGAATGCCCTGATATTCAATTGGCATGCGTGACTGAAGACAAGTATTCAATATATTACAAGTGATATTGGATCAAGAAGATACGTACGATAGTTAGGGGACCTATTCCATTGCCAACAAGCAATCAAACGAGGGATCTCAATCCATTTACATGCTAGAATGCTTTTACGACAGTGAGGTCCACGATGTCCAATGGAAGCGACAAATACCCAAAGATTCATGCAGAATTAGTTAGTCCCAAATTTCCAGCTAAGGAGAAATAAATGTGTTTATTTTTCAAAGTTTCTAGTGTTCGTTCTGAGGTGAATCCCCTCTGGGCCTTTAACGAAGAGCCAGGCATCCCACGCTGTCCATACCTATTTAGGAAGCTATTAAATGAAAATTCTCAAGAGAAAGGTCCAGTTTAACCGACCTGTTTCCAACATAACTGTTATATTGTCGAGATGGAATGAGCTACATGAGTAGGTACTTTTAGTAGGAACTGGATAGTTCACCAGCCCTATGAGTTCAGCGGGATATGATTAGTATGCATAGATAATTGATATCTAGTTTAATATGATATAGAGAGGCGCTGCATGCATAGACTGATGCTTTAAAGTATATATCAAGGTTAGTTACCCTGGTTCCTTAATATAGAAGCGTATCCCGTGATGGACAATGTTGGGAGGCGAGCTTTCTCGAATCCGGAATTTCCATGTACTACCTTATGATGGTCCTGCTTAGCTATAGGTATAGAAATAAGCAAGCAGACTCCAAAAGGATATTGGGCCAAGCTCTCTGGCCATGTAGTATGAATATTCGGAATTGATGATTCATTCCTTGATATTGTTAATACTTTTATGTAGATTCAAAATTCAAAGCGCCGTCAATCTAAATCCCAGAGCCATGGGCCAGATACGTCCATGCTTTTGCTTACCCGGAATATCATGCGTCATCCAGGAGGGCCCGGGCTCGCTGATGAGCCATGCTAAAAATAGGAAGTAATATAGACCAGGAAGATGTACATCAAAGGTACGCTTTAGAGTTTCGGCCTATAGGAGAAGGGGCTTTTCTCTCACACTGGAGTGCTTCCAAGAAGGGCTATTTCTTCTGGTTTAGTACTCCTTTATACCCTATCACTTGGCAATATGTGCTCAGATTTCATAAAAGGTACATACGCCGGGAAATTTATGACATCTAAGTAACTTACATAAAGTATCCGGGTATCGTTTCCGTGATAGGTAGGCTTCTTGGATGACTATGAAGTTCTCTAAAGAGTCTCATATGATCCCATTTCAAGGTTAAAGAAACCTGGGTATAACATATTCAAGAATTTTTGGAAAACGTAGATTTATTGGACATGCCAAAATGTAGTATATGTCTATTAATAACAGGCAATAACTAAAGCTATGACAAAGGAACGTCTTGGCCTCTTGAAAAAATCGAGCCCGTGGGAATTATAGACACTCTATCCATCCCCTATTCGTGAAACCACCCCAAGTTCACCTCCCACCATTCTAATCTAAATATACTAAGGGAGTTTTCAGATTCCGTCCAGAACTTATAAGGAGAGTGCTGTAAAGAAAATGCCCAAACCCAACATACGAAACTAACATGAGCCCTCTAATTTCATCCCCATTCAGTCATACCATTCGTATCATCATAAACCAACCGTCCTACCCTAGCTCCCCGAAGGCAACGAGCAAGTCCCCTGGCACTCCGTCATCGTCGGCGGGATCAAAACGGGCGTAGCCTCCGCCGTGAGCTCGTACACGCAAGTCCCGCTCGCCCCATCGCACACAGCGTCCGCCAAATTGGTCCCGACAGCAAAATGCCCCGTGCCGTCGTACACCTTCCACAACTGCTGGCCCCAGCGGCTAACATTATAGTTCAGCGTGAACGCGAGGTCTAGGTTCGTAGGGTCGATGCGGGCTGCCGCGCTAGGCACTACCTCGACGCTCCACACGCCGTACGAGAGCTCACTGGTCTCGACGCAGGTATCGTGCACGACGCCCGGGTTCGCACCGTCCTGCACGGCGCTGCAGTTCGCCGCGCTCGGGTTGAACGGGAGGTATCCTCCGCCGGCGGCGTGGGGGGCCGGGCCCGCGGACACTGTGTTCGGGTTCTGGATGGCCAGCTCGATGTCGACGGTGCCCGAGGCACCCTGGGCGGGGGCCGTGATTCGCAAGCTGTTGACTTTCCAGGGGTCGAGGGGTCCGATGAACGGGGTGGTGTCGTAGGAGGCTGCGAGCCCGGTCATGCATAGAGAGACCGCGAGGGTTGCGAGGGGTCCGGAGAGTTGCATCTTTGCGTATCTGAACCGGGGGTTTTCGGAGATGCGTATGATGTTGCTGTATTTACTTAGAGAGGTAGGCGTGACACTTTAAATTGAAAGTTGTCGTTAATCTAGCGGGAATGGCTGAGTAGATGCAGGCTCCCGTTTAAATATCACCTTGGACAGATTGAGCTCGAGTATATTGGAGAGCCAGCCTAAACACTCGAAAAGCCATCAGCCCACCAGGTAACGTTAAGCTACAGTGTAGCACCAGATAAAAATAGAGCTCTCACGCCTTCCCGATTCCCTGGATTGAGAATACGAAGCTTCTACCTTACGCAAGGGGCCGGAAGCTGCTGTCGAGGTACGGGGCCTCGGGAATCGGCCCCGGCTAAATGCAAGCTGCATCTTGTGCGTCAATACATGGCCTGAACGAGTATCTGTTGGCGGGCACCACTTGGCGAGATGCATCTAGACTGGCCATCATCAGCTTGTTCTTCTTCATTGCCTTACGAGCTGGACGTCGCCCTGCGTCAAAGCGGTCTTGTCAGGTAGGACTCGAGGATACGTTGCAAGCATCTAAACATGTACCTCGTGCGTAACTATAGACTTAAGATCCGTTTTGAGTTATTAATCTCGTGATCTAGCTGGAAATCTTCATAATGTTTATGGTTCTAGTTTTTTCTCCTTGCAGTTTGGGCCATGATTAATATGAGGTCATTGGTTAGGCCATCGTATAGGCGATATTTTGTTGGTTAAAGCGGCTGTTGGGTATCACCCAAGACATAACAACATCTAACTAGCAAGCAACATGTTCTAGAAGTAAGAAGTATAGGGAAGCTCATTGGAGGTAATCGAATATCGAACGGACATTGAGCCTCAGACACGTCATGGCTACCTACCTTCTAGCGCACAATTATTCGTATTAACGTTGACCTATGTATCCCTGCATAATACCGTACAGTTAGCTAGCCCTAGGACGTAATAGTGCGCTGTGCTTTTCACTAAAAAGTTTAAGCTTAGCCCTAATGTCAGCCCCATATCTCAGCTTCTCATTCACACACACAACCTGAGTGATAATGAAGAAAAAAGAGAAAAAGAATAATGATCCCTCGGGCCGGAATCGAACCGGCGACATTTCGGTATACAATCATATCTAGAAGATATTTCAATTACAGCCGAACGCGATAACCAACTACACCACCAAGGGGATACTCCGGAGTGGACTCTGGAGCGAGGGACAAGTGGCAACACTGGCAGCTATTGGTCATTATATCATTGAATCGGGTGCTAGCATCCCACCGGCCCATACTAACCGCGGGCCTTAACAGTCTTTTCTCAAAAGATACGGACGTACATTAATAATATTTAGGTAGTCAACTAGATTCGTTGTTTCCCTTCTCATTTCATTCAATTCTCTCATTTTGGATGCCTCGTGTTAATAACTAGAGCGTGTGGTAAGGCATCGCAGTTGGGGATTTGAAGAGACAAGCACCATCTAGCGAGTGATATTAACAACAAGATAATTCAAGCCACCAACAACAATAATTCTAAATGGCACCGTTTAACACACTGTCGATAAGTTCGACATCCTTAAGCAGCTGCTTATCTCCTAGTCTCGGACCAACTATCTGCAAAGCCACAGGCGCGCCTTTGAAAAGTTCTGGATCATCTGGAAAGACATGTTAGCCACTAGATCCTAACGCCGTATGCTAGGGAGTCCTGCACATACACATATCCTGATTCTTCTGATCGGCCGTATGCATAGGCTTGAACTCGGCATCAACGGGATCGAGAACCGGGTCGACGTGAGTGAAAGGTACGACGACAGCGGGATACTAAAAAAGCAAAGTTAGAACATCTCGTATCAATCAATCAATGACTACAACGAGGCGCACATGGGATGTCTTACATCGCACACGTTCCAAGCTACCGTGTAAATATCACTCGTCCAATCGCCAGGCAGTACGGCCGTATGCGGACCGACCGGCGCAAGGACGACATCGCAGCCTACTCTCTGCCACTCGTCCAACATGTCCTTCTGGACCTGTCCCTTCTTCGTATTCCACTGCCACGCCTCCTCCTGGGTCTTCGGCGGGATGTCCCAGAAGCCGATCTTCTTCACGCTCGGCACGACGGGCTCGCCCGACTTGGCGAGCTCTTGCTTCGGGTAGGACAGGCCGTCTAGCGTGAACAGCTGCTCCGAAATGTTGCGAATGCCGATGAAGTCGGGCGGATTGAAGTCCCTGATCTCGAACCTGGCAGCTGCGAGCTTGGATACGGCTTCTCGTATGGCCCGGCGAACTGGCGGGTGTGGCGTAAGTCCGGATGCGTAGATGACGCCGACGACAGGCTTCCGCGGGGCCTCTGGAACGAATTCCATGATATTCGGAATGACAGCGGGATCAAATTTCCAAGGCTGCGCGGCTCTGACTATGCGGGCGAAAAGGTCAAGGTCTCGTACCGAGTGCCCTAGAGGACCGGTAACAGCGGGTATGCCCGTGTTGGAACCTGTCCAACCCGAATAAGAATACCCGATCATGGGAATGATGCCGAAGCTTGGCTTGTATCCATAGACGCCGTTGCAAGCTGACGGTATTCGTATTGACCCGCCGACATCAGTTCCAACACCCAGCGCACTGCATCGGAAGGCTTGACTTGCGCCTTCACCACCACTACTTCCACCAGAAGTCAGACGGGAGTTCACGGGGTTCTTGGTGCGTCCGAACACATTGTTGTCGGATTCCGCAACAAGCATTGTCTGAGGGACGTTTGTCTTTGAAATGACGACTGCCCCAGCAGCTTGTAGGAGTTCCGGCAGCGGCGACGTACGGTCGGCCGGTTGAAAGACTCGAGACATATACCCGTTGGTCGAGTCGTACCCCTTGAAGTGAAAGCACTCCTTGAAAGTCATGGGAACTCCATGCAGCGGGCCGACCACCTTGCCAGTACTCTTATAGATACTGTCGAGTTCCTTGGCCCTTTCTATTGCATCGGCAAACATGATCTCTGTTAGCATGTTGCAGAGCTGATGGCCTATTGCAGCGCGTTTGCAAAAGGCTGTCACAACCTCCTGGGCCGTGAATTTACCCTCAGCAATAGCAGCGGCTAGCGAAGTTGCATCATACTCGTCGCTAGTAATTGCCAGCTCGGCGGGAGACAATATTGGGCATGTATTGACAAAGGATCGAAGGTCAACTATATCCTCCGGAGGAAAATCTTCCTTCTTCAGCTTCCATTCTGCTGGTATTCTTGAGTCCTGTTCTGCCTTCTTTGCTGCCTGGAGTTCTTTCCAGGACTTCTTAGTCGCTGACTCGTTGTTGTCACCCATCTTGAATATCTGTGTATCTAATGTTGAACCGGTATCCCATGGGGAGTATCAAAGAAGAGGTATTCTCAAATACATACTTACATGTAGGCCACGGCCCCTCATCGGAGCATGCAATGTAGCCCTTGAACAACCATACCCGAATCCTGTCGGAGTGGGGTAGAAAGCGGCGTCGATATCCGAAGGGTTGGAGATGAGGAGACTCACTACCTAACTGCCTGTATAATTGGAGTCCTATATCACTGGATCCACTATATGCTAGATTATCTGATAATCTACTCCAAGACCTGCTCCTATAACTAGTTTCACTCCCACCTACCTTATCGTTGCATTCGATAGGGAGACGCATGGGGCGGTCTTGGCTCTTGCGATCGGGTACCGCCTATCTGGTGAATTATCATCCTCGCCTATTGCCTTTATCTTTGGATTCAAACTTCTATGCTTAGTGTTTAGTTTGAAACGATCTATTGGCATCTAAAATCCTTCGGTGAGTAACGTACGATAGTAGTGTAAGGGCCCCGGTGTGAATCCGTCCAGGCGGAATTGATAACCATCTGTGGCGACGTCACGCCTGAGCGCTATAGCGGGGATCTTATCATGCATATCAGATATCAGGATCAACAGGTTGTGGCTATTACATCTTAGTGGTGCTAGTATAGTGAGGAGTAGCATTTAACATGCTCTTTGGTGTTTCTCAAACTCGAGACCAATTTGTTTCTTTCGAGATTCGATCTTAACATGACTGCGAAAATGTCTGAGAAGAAGGACATCCCGATTGCTGAGAGCCCAGTTGATACTGAGAATGGAACTGGCTTCACCCTACCAAAGCAAAATGCATTCCAGCGCCTAATCCACCGGCGCAATGATCTCAACGAGCTTGGAAAGGATATGTTACAGCAATCTCTTCAATATGACCGAGCTCAACTTGAAGCGGATGCAATCAAAGTTCGATGGAAGCTGGATCTGTTGGTGCTTCCAATGGTATGTATGACACCAAGATCGATATTTATAGTATCTGTTTCTAACCAATTATTGGTAAAGATGATGACTACGTACATGTTGTCGTTTCTCGATAAGCAGACGTACGGTTCGCTCTATGATTTGTTAGTACGAAGCTCTGATACTGATCTTCTGTAGTTTGAACTACTCGAATGCGTATGGGTTGCAGCAGGATACGAAAATGACGGGTGATGACTACTCCTGGGTCGCCTCCGCCTTGTACTTTGGTTGGCTCTGTACGTGACCTTTCTCGTGAACCGACATACTGAATGGGGACTAATCTCGGTCATTAAGGTGGAGCATGGCCGTGGAACATGTTGCTGCAACGCGTTGCTATTGGGAAACTTGTTGGTGGCATGTTGTTCGTTTGGGGAGCCGTCTGTATGCTTCAAGCCACAGTGTTCAACTTCAGCGGCTTCTTTGCCATTCGATTCTTTCTGGGCATGCTTGAAGCCTGCATCTCACCCGCCTGGGTCATCCTGACTTCGATGCTCTGGACCCGGAAAGAACAGACACTACGCAGTTCTATATGGCTGTGTACGAATGGTGTCTCGAACATCCTAGGAGCACTTTTGGCATACGCTTCGGGTGTTGCTGGAGGTCTATCTATAGCTCAATGGAAACTGATATTTCTGGTAAGGTGTTCTATTTCATGTCTCTGCACCAAAGGCTAATCTAGATATATGTAGATAGTTGGCGCTCTCACCTTCGTGTGGGGTTTTGTTATCTTACTCTATCTCCCCGACGGACCACACAACGCAAAGATGTTAACAGAATACGAAAGGGTTGTCGCTGTCTGGCGGGTCTCCAATAATCAGATCGGTCTCAAGGATGCGACTATTAGACCGTATCAAATTAAGGAGGCGTTGTTCGATGGGAAATGCTACTTATTGTGGATGACCGCAATAGCACTAGGTATTCTCAATGGGGCGGTGACTAATTTTATGTCCGCTATCATCAAGGGTTTCAATTTCGATGCGCTCAGAGCTTCTTTACTACAGGCGCCAGGGGGCGGCTTCGAGGTCGTCGGCTGCCTTCTGCTAGGATGGATCTCTCAGCTTCCGAATATGGTGGGTGTCTCTATCATCATCGGGTGTTTGCCCGGTATGGCTGGACTCATCGGCATCCTTACGATCGGTATTGAACACCGCTACGCCCTTGTGGCCATGTGCTGGTTAGAGAATGTGCTTGGATCACCCATTATCTTGAACTGGACAGTTCCTGGTCTCAACGTAGCTGGACACACGAAGAGGAGTACTGTTATTGGGATTTATTTCGTCTGTTTTGTTGTCGGAAAGTGAGTTCTAATCCAACAGTAATAAGAGAGGATTTGCTAATATCAATGGACGCAGTATTATCGGTCCTCACCTATTCCTAGCTCAGGAGGTACCTCGGTATCCAACAGCAATCAAGGGGCTCCTGGGAACTTATTGCGCGGTAGTGGTATTCCAGGGGCTGTACACTCTATGGTGCTGGCTCGACAATAGAGAGCGCGACCGGCTAGGTCTACGTGCTGAAGCCGTGGAAGAGCAATTGGAAGGTTTTGAAGATCTGACTGACAAGCAGAACAAGCACTTTAGATACAGGCTCTAACTGTAATGCAAAGGGGGGGGGGGGGGGAGGCTCACTAATATTTCTATTTCCAGATAGTTATAAGCTTCCATAGCACATACCTTAGATATAGAGACGCTATCAATATTGTGACACTTTTCGTATCAAGGAATCGAAAGCATTGAGTATAAATGACTTCGAACCTTAGGTACAGGTTTCACAGAAGTACCTACCTTGCGCAATACATCCATGTATTTAGCTCTTTCCAAGAGATAACCTGCTCATTAATATGTGAGGCAGGTGCACAGGCTGCCGCCTTCGTCGTCGCTTCG